TCTATAATGTTAGTTTTATGCTTGAGTAGAATCTTATTTGTAAGAAAACAGGGCCATATGTGCAGCAAAATTCCCCCAATTGGACACTTATTTATTCTATTCCTCATGTCAGATATTCATGAAAGGTTATATTGTGTACACCATTAGGGTAAAGTTGAGGTAAACAGCGGTGTCTTTTTTTTTTAACTTTCCAGACAGGTTCTACCGCTTTGTTCTTCTCCTCCCAGCAAGGACACCATGAAGTTGTAAAGCTCCTCTTTGAATTCGGTGCCTCCACTGAATTCCAGACAAAGGTATGCAACAGGGTGCAATGATGTGTATCATGGCCTTTAGAATACTGGGTGTGAAGGAGAATGCTGCAGTGCTATCATCAGACTTCAGAATGTGGAGATAAAGAGACAGCGATGCACAAACAGTGCTGCTGTGACTTTAAAGATATTTTTGTTGTTGCCGAACACTTTAGTCATTCTTGTGCATCCATGTGTGTTTATGTGGCAGGATGGTGGCACAGCTCTCACTGTCGCATCTCAGTACGGTCACTCCAAAGTGGTGGACATCCTGCTGAAAAATGGAGCCAATGTTCACGACCAGCTGAACGTGAGGCTCTTTGCATTTATGTCTGCAGCCTCTCGCTCTCAGTACGCCGTCACTGTCCTGTCTGTTAAGTCTATTTGTCTGTCAGAAACACAATGGTTAGCTGCACACATTGTCCCAGCAACTGGAATCCAGCCTCTCAGGTTTCTGCAGACTGCTGAGTCAGACATGAATCATACTGGGCAGGATAACTGTGTGTTTCCTTGGTGCCATGGAAAAACAACCTGCTTACACAAAAATGTGCTTATAAATAGTACTGATGGAATCTTGTTTTAGTGATGTAGTCTATGCCTAATTGGAAGATTTTCCAAGCAGATTTCGAAAATCTAGTGTGAGGTAATTCTTGTTTTGCAGGATGGTGCCACCCCTCTTTTCCTTGCTGCCCAAGAGGGTCATGTGACTGTGATTCGTCAGTTGCTGTCATCCGGTGCCAAGGTCAACCAAGCAAGGGAGGTAATGTCCTCGCCAAACTCTGCCTCTTTAAAACAGAGCTCTAAACATGTTGTCACCTACTCCTGCTAATTGTCCCTCA